GCCATCCTCTTGCACGATCATACCTTGCCCAGGCTGGGCGGATGAAATGCATTGGCACTGGCCTTTGTGCTGATGCAGATACCCCGTCAAATGGCGAAGGATCGCCCAGGAGCCTTTGGTGGGCTTTGACATGTAAGATGCAAGGTAACGGATACAGAACTGGGCTTCAGGAATGTCAGCTTGCAGATACAGAAGGATTCCGACGCATGACCTGAAGACGGAGGCTTCGGTGGGCGGCAGCTCGGCGGGATCATCATTGGCCTCAGTCGGGAGAGTGCCCGTTGGCATTGGGCGACTGTCGCGCTCGCACTTTCCCTTGGCTCAGCCCTGTCATATCCAGGAGGCGCTCGAGGTGCTTCCCATGGACCTGAATGCAAAGCTCGCCATCTGAAATCAAAATGTGTCTCTTCTTCAAAAACATCAGCTGATCATTCACATCCCTGATCCACTGCACAGAAATTGTGTATTTCTTGCAAAGCTGGGCACAGCAGTCCTCTAGCACAGAGGTCACACCGGCAGCAAGAAGATCATCCACGTGAAGAAGGCCGGCGCCCTGCTTGGCGGGAAACCTCAAAATGGAAGTCATCTGTGGCATCTGCTCGGTACGGCAATGCTCATTCAAGCAACTGCTAAAATCACCAAACCATCGGCTTGAACCGTCACGCTGGCACTTGTCTAAGCGAAACCACAAAGTCTGATGCCCAAGCTTCACAGAAGTCACAGTGGGAGAACCCTGGCTGCAAGTCAAGTAAGCATCTGCAACGTCAACGGCAATCATGGACCATCCGGCGGCACGCTGCTGCATGAACAATGCCGGGATGACGCGAGTCACGATGGAGCTGCTGGCAGGACTAAAGAGACCCTCGCGGTGGGGATCTAGAAAAGCGAACTCCCTCGCTACCAAACGAGCCCTTCTAAGCCAAACCTCCTTGCCCCCTATGCATTTCTGGCGCCATGACAAAACGAACTTGGTGCTCAACGTGCGATGGCCTGACAGCGGCCCTGCAACTTGCACAAGAACGCTCTCGGAGCCAAGGCGGGCAACTTCGAAGAGGGAGGCTTGTCTGTCGGCTTCAAACAATTCCTCGGCACTTAGCTCGGGCTCGTGATCCGACAGGTCGCGGATGAGGCACTTGGGAATGCCTTCAGCAGTCACCTCATACTCCTCATCCTGCTCATGCAGCTGCTCTAAAACGCTTTTCGGGTACGTTCCAAACCCTTTCACTTCACACAGATAATCGCACTTCACTTTTCCTCGGGAGCACGGTCTGTCTTGGGTGCGTCCCTTGAGCCTAAACACCACAGTGGAACATTTGTTCCATGCTATACAAAACATGTGGCAAACAGCTCAACTACAGGAGGCCTCGCAGAGAGTCTTGGACGCGGCCGAGCGCGCCGGCGTGGCGGTGGCACTCAAGGAGCTGCCGGACCCCTGGACATTCGCATCCGAGGAGTACTCGGAGTTCGACTGGCACGTGGCTGCGAGGATGCCCTACCGCTCCTTCAGCGAGCTTCGCAACTTGGTTGGCCGCTACGCCGAGCAGGGCGAGAGGGAGGTGCGAGCCAACACCGCGGACCTGGTGCGCTACCTACGTGGCCGAGGTGCTCAGCGAGACCGTGAACGTGCCCAACAAGCTGGACGAGAGATGCAGCACCTACGAGTACTTCACGGCTTCTGGGTGGAGCGGCACGGCGAGTACCTGCAGCGACAGATCCAGGAGGTGCTGAAGCAGATCAACCGGCACCCCCTCGCCTGGACTTGGACTCCCCCGAAGCCCTTCAACCGCGTGGACTTCGCCCATGGCCTGGTGTCGAGCGTCCTTGGCTTTCTGGGCGAGCGCACGATGCCCTCCCTGGACAGCGCGCGCATCAACGGCCTCCTCCTGTGCAGCGACGGCTACATCCTGGACTTCAACGAGGAAGCCGCCCAGAAGTGTCGGCGAGCCAGGCCTCCCTCTCCAAGATCTGGCAGCCCAAGAACCCCAGCGGCCTTGGCCGGCTTGTGCGAGATTTCCTGGAAACCAAGGCCAAGACCCTGGACGAGAACGAGGCCGGGAGAAAGGTCATCGAGGAGTTTGAGCGGCTCCTGCATGAGGAGAAGTGACAAGTCCTCTCCGTCCTGAAGAACTACGCGATCCTGCGGGAGAAAGTGGACGGCGTCATGACGGAGACGATCGACTGGAACTGGGTCCTCTGGGTGCTGTGCTTCATCAGTCGCTGCATCCTGGGCGAGGAGCACCTCTGCGAGATGCTCTACCTCTGGAGGGGCGGCAGCTCCGGCAAGGACGTCCTCAACCTCCTGATCTTCGCCGTGCTGGGCTTGGGGGTCGAAAACCTGGGGGTCATGCTGCCCGGGCGCTACCTGGTCGCCGGCGGCCAATCGGCCAACGAGAACGCCAGCCCGCTGCTGGCGCGCATGGAGCGCAAGAGGGCCGTGTGGGTGAGCGAAGTTCCGCATCACACCCACTTGAACGAGGACTTCGTCAAGCCATTTTGCGAGCAGGGCGGCGCTCCCGTGCCGGCTGGGCGATTGAACAAAGCGCCGCGCGATTTTGTGCCGACCTCGGTGCTCCTGGCTACCTCGAATCATCCGGCACAAGTTCAGCGGACGTCCATCGGCCCAAGGACTCGAGGTCATTGGCATAGAGTAGCATGTCTAGCGGGAACGATGGCCCTAGCAGGTGGTACGTGAGCCGAAGCCCACACGCCGCTACACGGGTCCACCAGTAGCTAGCGCAGGATAGCCCGAAGGTCCCCACCAGATTCACGTAGACCGTCTGGCTGTCGGGGTCCCCCGGAATAGCTTCTTCGGTGTCGATCTGACACCCAAGGTAGCCATGCTCCCCCTCGGCATGCTTGTAGCGCCTGTGGGCCTTAGCGATGTCCCCCACCACGGAGAAGGCCACCTCGTTAGCGTCGATGAGCTATGGCCCGGTGCTCACCGTCCCGGAGGAGATACGGGGACCAAAAAAAAAGGTGACCGGCATCATTTTGGTGAAAAGGACATTGTGTTGACGAGTGCCACTTGGAAGCTATTTGAAGAACCGTAGGTTTTATTGCAGAAAACTCTTATTCTGATATCTTTGCAAGGCAAACCTCGAGACAGATGTCGTTTTCAGGTGGTTCAGACTCAAAGATCCGCCAGACAGATCTCGTAGTAGGTGAAACTTCAGTTTTGATAGATACAAAGCACATGCTTGAGCCAGTTTGAGCCAATTTTTGAGCCGTTTGAGCCACAAGCTTAGGGTTGAGGGCTTCTAGCGTTAGGGTGCAAGGCTTAGGGTGAGGCTTTAGCTCAGGTTCCACAGACCTTGGGCTTTGGGATTAAAGGTTTCGGGTTCTGGTTTCGGCAGGCCCGGTGCGATTCTTGATGTCCCTCCCGCCCCTCCCTCACGATTTTCAGCTGTCGCCGAACTTCTTGAGCCAGTGTGGCACTGCAGCTGCCAGATATCGCTTAACCGCTGTACTATGCACAGCCGCAGCATGGCATCCACTGGCCTCAGATCGGTCCCCGCTTCTTTGAAAAATGTACAGTAGTACGATGCTCGTGATGCTCCGTACTGTATATTTGTCTCTCCACGTACTTCAGCCAAGAATCTATGGAGCAAAGCCGGCGAACGAAGTCTTCATCACCGAAACAAGACATAAGTCGAGGGTTTATGGGCAGCTTGTGCAAGTCGGCGAACATATGAAACCAGGTGTGCAGCCTGATTTGCAGGGACGTTTCATTTCCAAGCCATAAAATTATGTTGCAATGTGTTTAATGCAGAGCAAGAATCTTTGGTCTCAGCTTGTACCGGCGTTTGCCGGCACAAAAAGCATCATATGCCAGGTACACGTAGCCCACCAAAAAACGGCGAACCAGCTTCTTCGCTTTTGCAACAGCAGACGGTGGGAATACGTAGAGATAAGCATCCATGAGTTTGATCAGCCGAGCCAATGACCGGACGGTCCTTGGATCCAAGCTTAAAGGCATGGCACTTGCCTTTATCTGAATTCCGAAACTGTGAAGTCATGTCTCAGATTCAGCACTGCAGCTTTCTCCTTATCTGCCCAGGTTTTCGTAGCCACCGGAACCAATACTGCCTGGGCTTCTGTAGCTATGCAGAAATTCAGGCCTGTATGTATTAAGGCTTAGGGCTCTGGTTTTAGAGTATACAGGGTACAGGCCGGGGTAAGGGTGGTTACCGGTAGACTATTCGACAAAAAAAAGCGCTTAAAAACAGTTGCTGTCAGCTCCAGGAACAAGCCATAAACATATGACTTTGATGTCTGCACCCTTAGCATTAAGGAAAGCGTACTTCTCATCTGCATTTAGATTGAAGTCGTCGCAAGCAAGTTCGAGGCCTTGGGCTTTCGCCCATGTAGAGGCAAGAGTGTGAGCTTTTGTCAAGCCTCCGTTTCCCAGAAAAAGGTCCAGCATGACTGAAGCGGTAAAGTCTGGCCCAAAACCCCTGTAGCACACATGTAATGTGTCGAAGTGGATCAGCTTGCTGTCGAAGCCATCGAAGTCGCAGAGTGCAGGGATTCCGTGCCCCCTTTGGGCAGTCCAGAGCTCTTGCAAGAAGTCCTCAGTTGAACTTGTTACGATCAAAAAATGTTTACCTCTGGCAGACAAGCCTCTGTATTTTTTTCGCGACCACAAAGCTCCCAAGGAGAATCTCCGAAGAAGTTCAGGTAGTGCCCGGACCCCATAGATAAGAATGTTGCACCATCCATCAAATCTATCGTGGAGGAAAGCCTGGGATGAGTTAAGGTCGCACGGCTTCGCAATATTTGGACCCAGATGCTTTCCTAGATGCTGGCACTGCATGCACATCCTGCACACAGATCTAGCTCGGCACTTCCAAGTATTTAGGAGTGAGGGTTCGGTTCGGGCTTTAGGCTACATAAGGATTATGTGTAGACCTGCCTACTTAAAATATCATCCCCCCACTTCCTAGTTGGGTACCTGAAGCCTAACAAATAACCTCGAAAAAGCACATTTACCCCACAGACCCTCAAAGCCGAACGAGAGCATGTCCGGGCCTGTTTCCATTGGCCTCGCCGTTCCCCTTCCAGTGTCGAGGACTGAGCCAGGGATGAACTAGCATTGAGAAAAACGATGTACCCGTCTGAGGCACAGGCAAATGCAGGATCTGTTGGAACCACTTCTGGTCCCCAGCCAATCCCATATAGCATAGCTTTCTGGAAGATATGCCATCAAGTTTGAATCTCCTGGAGACTCGACATCAATAAGTGGTCTTATGGGCCAGAAAACTTAGCACAGAATAACCCGGTCTAGGCACACTTTCTTCAAATCATCTTTGAGGAAGCTCATAAGAACATCCAAGGTCGCGGGGAATTGCGTGCCGATCTTCTTGTTCTTTTGCATCGCCCGAGTGAGAACCGTTTGACCAGTAAGGCATGCGAGGCACAGGCGAGTCTTCAAAGTGTCCTAGGTGAGCACGAGCGAATTGCATGACCAAACAAGCGGACACAACAGCTTCATTGCCAACAAGGCTCACCCGAATGAGTATAAGGAAATGACATATTGATAACAAGCACGTTCTTGGACTTTTGGCCAGGACCCTCATCGCCGTGCAGACGAAATGGGAGATCATCAGGCCCTGTCGTGATAAGAACCCTTTTATTTAGAGTTAAGGGCTTAGGGTAATTTCGAGGTAGGGTACAAGACCTCCAGTGTAGCCAACGTCGCCGTTCTGCAAAGTGCTGCTCAACCTGAGCTGCTCGTATCTGTCAGAAGCGAAGTAGCTCCTGCAAACTAGCCTAGTGCACCTGATCCTGACTTACAAACCAAGCAGCAGCTCGCGATCTTGCGGCGTAGAAGAACCAAAGCAGATGGCTTGCAATAACCAAGGCCGCTTCTCCAACCACGACATGTAGGAGCTCGGAAGAACGATACCTTAAGTTGGTTAAGGAAGGTTGTGCGGAAAACTACAAGAGCATGAACGTTCGACGATGGAAGTTTGAACAAGTCTCTGCATGGTTTCTCAACCACAAGTTTCTTCTTCTTCGACACCAGCAGCGGCAACTTGATTTTCGATACCTTTGGTAACGATCGTGCGAAAAACTCGTGGAATCGCTTCTCTGTCCTCCTCCCAGCCAGCTTCTTGGTGATCCAGTGCATGTTGTTGCCGCTTTCGGTTTCAGCGGCTGAACACAAGTCGCTTATCCAGTTCACATCAGCATTCTTTTTTTGTAGAGCAGCGACAGCAGTATTCGATAGAGATGCATTCGCCAGACTCTGCAGCCTGTACGGCAGTGCTTCTTGCTGGGGCACATAAAGCTTGTCCAGGGTTACAGGAGAGCTCGATGCAGCAGCATTTTTCGCATCCAATCGTCGTTGTAAGTCTCGCCGCCTCGGAGCTGGACGTTTCCTGCGATAGGGCGGTGCAACCTAGCTAGCGGGTTCAGGGTTCAGGATTTAAGGTGTTCCCTATATATATGGGGTGAAAGTTCATTAGTTTTACGGCTTATGTAATGTGAAGCTTACGGCAGGTCGGAAGGAGTCCTCTTCGGCTCGGGTGCCGGGACGTCGAGGCCTGCGTGGGGAGCTGTGCGTCTAAGCTTGTAAAAGCCAGAGGAAGACACGGAGAGAAGAGAGTGGAGAGGGGAGAGAGGAGATCGAGAGAGAGAGCGAGAGAGAGAGAGAGAGAGAGAGAGAAAGAGACAGAGAGAGAGGGAGACCGAGGCAGTGAGAGAGCACCAACGAGTGCAAGGATTCAACAGAACCAAATGAGCTCATGTGCAAGCAAGAACCTGAGATGATCTTTCGTCTCCGTCCGACGGAGGAGTCGCAGCGTGCTGCAAACCGGTGGGCAGCAGGCTGAGTCACAAATCTTGCGATCATGATTGTGTTCTAGCTCCTAGCAGCCCGTGCCTCTTCCCAGTTCACAGCTCACTTGTTCAAAAACCAGCACGAGCTAGCTTGGATAAAGCTGGTGGGCAACAAGCACACATAGACACATATATAGGTGCGGGAATGCAGACTATATAGAAGCGGTATGTAGAGCAAGTGCCTCGTAAGCCCAGCTTATCCTTCTAGCATGATCAAAAACCATCAAGTAGCTGCTAGCTGCTAGTTTGCTGCGGATAGACCAGAGCATTTACAGGTTGGCTCTTAATCATGCCCGGATATTGTGTTAACTGCTGCAGCCAGCATCAAAAACCGAGTGCATATGGTGCACGAAGTTCCCGGGAAGCACGACTTTGTTGGACACAGCATCCGAAGGTTCATCGGTTTGTCAGTGGTACATGTGTGTAGCTCACAGTACATCAAGTGCCCATCCCAGAATCAATCACAAAAGCCAGCCATATTGCTAGCTGATAAAGATCCAGCTGCATGTCGGGCCGAGCGAAACCCTGCACTTCATATGGAAGCTAGCATGTACCGTGACTAGGGATTGCAACGTCTCGGTCCGTGGCACAGCACATGCAGCAGTGGGGCCAACTTCACTCATGCCTTCTTGTTTGCATGCACCTTGGCCACACCCAAAGCAAACTCCTGCAGTTGCGGATGCGATTGCAGGTAGAACACATTCACACTGCCACGAGTCGTATTTCTTCAAGCTCCTAACATATGGTTGCTATGTGTCTCTCACTCCCTCGCCATCTCTCTATCTATTTATATCTCTATCTGTCTCTCCTTCTCTCTCTCTCTCTTAGATTTGTGCGTGTTTTGGGTTCTCGTTTTTTTTTCTCTCTCTCTCTCTCTCTATCTCTCTCGCTCTCTTTCACTCTCACTCTGTCACCTTCTCTTTGTATGTACGACACTGGGACAGACTTTGCCATTGAATGATGTGACAGCAGACAGGGTCCTCTTTGCTGGCACACACCAAGAAAGCCCTTGCCACCTCCTGCCAGGGTTTAAGGTTTAGGCTTTTGGAAGGGGAGAGGGATGGATAGAAAACATGTATATGCGTACACAGCGAAATGGCCTTTAGATGCTCCTGCCATTCGGCCTCGTCAACGGTTTCGTCGAGATTCTTTAAGGCCTGCTACACCATCTGATAACACATACTTGTATGTATGGATGAGTGCATATGCAGAACATACAGACATAGCCCAAAGGCCTTGTACTTCTCCTCGAGCCCAGTTTTGGCCTTTAACAACGAATCCATAACAGCACTGGCATCCTCGAGGTCTTGAAGCTGAAGTTGCAGACGTGCAACCAGGCCGACCTGCCGGGGTCGATTCCACAATTGGGGTTCTGAGTACGTGCTGCACTGTTTAAAGTCCCACCTTGGCAAGCACCTCCTTCTCCATATTTTTTTTCGTTTCGGCTCGGTTGAACCGCGGGAGGGCTTCTTTCAAATCGCTGCTTCTGCATTTTGTCAACTCGAATATTCCGGTTTTCATGGCCGCCGGAGCTTTCGATTTCGCCTTCCCTTTGGCCTTGGCTGTCGCCTTCGCAGAAGCTTTCGCTTCTCCTGCAAAGCCACCCGACCCGATAACAATCAAGGCATCGTAAAGTCGTATTAGCCTGCAGCAGCACTCTCCGTAATGGCAGCCGGCGTAGGCGTAGCTGTCGTAGACTCATGGCACCTGAGATAGGTATGCAAACAGCTATTCTGGAAGGGTCGAGGATGGTTTTATGAATAGGGGTATCAGACGGACAGGTTAGGGTTTGGAGTTTTTAATGTAGGGTTTTGTTGCTAGGGTTTGGGCTTTAGTTTAAGGGTTTCTCGAAGAAAGAGAACCAGAACGAAGCGAAGCCAACGAATTGCCACTAAGTCGCAGTTCTGAGAACAGCTTTTTGGCTTCCGGTCTGTTGTCGGAGGCAAGTGGTTTGATGCTTGCCTCGATCTCGCGACGTTTTTCGAAGAGCTCAGTCTCGGAAAACTCTGTGAAGATATTGTACAGCAGGTTCCCCGAACCAGCAGGGAAGTTCGGATCGTCCCGGCAGCCTTAAGTAGACCAACATGCACAACTTTTTGGTTGTGGCTCGATTGGACTGAGATCCTTACGGCCTTGCTGGACAGCAAAGTCAATGGCATCCTTCGCTTTCTGTTCGTTGGGGGCGTAGTGCGTGAACACCTGTTCTCTCGTCAAAGACTGCTTTGTCTTTTTTTCTTGCCTGAGCTGAGCACATGAAACGAACGAGGGAGCCCAATGAGCCCAAAAATTCTAAACATTGACTAAGCTGCTCAACCATCATATCCTTCAAAATGATCCCCACCGTGACCTTGTTCACGTCCTGTCCACTCGCCATGTACTCCTTGATCATATCCTTCCTCACATCACCACCCGTCCTCCATGCTTGAAGGATCTCCAGCGTGCATCGGTGAGGGTTTTTCGTAAGCCGGCGGACCGTCTGGATCGCTGCGGCCGCTTCTTTTCGTGCCACTGTGTTCGCCTCGGATCACTAGATGTGTGTTGTTTGGTGGCTGCTCAAAGTTTCGGTTTGATTATTCTCATATATATATATACACACATACATGTATACCCCTAGTAATAATTTATTAATGTATGATGTTATATAACTGTCTATATATATATATATATACAAATATTTATACTCCTCAGAGAAAAACTTAAGGTTTCAGGATTTAGGTTTAGGTACTATAATAGATTGGTCTAGGCACTTCATCAGCAGCAGTCGGTTCACTCGTCGAAGTCTCGGGAGGAGCAGCTGCTGGGATCGTTGTCGGAGGGGCCGCAGTGCCCTGAGGTGGGGGTGGGCCCTGAGGCGGGGGTGGGATCGGCGAAGCAGGTGTTGCGGCCGGGGTCGGCGAAGGAGCGGGGTTCGCATTTGTTGCGGCCGGGGCCGGCGAAGCACTGGGGTTCGGAGTTGCTGCGGGCGGGGAGTTTGTCGAAGCACTGCTGCCCAAGGCCAAGAGCTTTTGTCGCATGGCCTCATTCTTCCTTTGGATTTCATCCAACTTCGCCTTCTTCGTAGCATTTGCAACCTCCCTTTTGAGCCTTTCCTCCTCCTCGTGTTCCTGTTTGAGTTGTTTCGAAAGTGGCGATAGATCCAAGCTCCGGCTCGGTGCTGCTCGTGTGGGGCTGTGTGCACGTTTGAAGTTGCTCGTGCCGATTGTCGGTGGCGTCTCCCCCGTCAGCTCCTGGATCCGTTGCCTCATTCTTCGGATTTCATCCTCAACAGCTGCTTGCCGTTTCTTTTCGGTGTCTGCTGCTTCTGCTGCTGCTGCCTCTTGTGCTTTCTTAGCTGCTTCTGCTGCAAGTGCTTCCTCTCGGCGTTTCTTCTGGGCATCAGCTGCTTCTATCTCTGCGGCTAGTGCTGCTTCGAGCCTTTTCCTCTCGGCTTCTGCTGCTGCTGCTTCCTGTCTTTTCTTTTCGGCTTCTGCTGCTGCTGCTTCCTGCCTTTTCTTTTCGGCTTCGTCTGCTGCTGCCTGTCTTTTCCTCTCGGCTTCTGCTTCTGTTGCTTCTTGTCTTTTCTTCTCGGCTTCTGCTGCTGCTGCTTCTTGTCTTTTCTTCTCGGCTTCTGCTGCTGCTGCTGCTGCTGCTGCTGCTTCTTGTCTTTTCTCCTCGGCTTCCTGTGCTGCTGCTGCTGCTTTTCTTTTCTTCTCGGCTTCTTCTTCTGCTGCTGCTGTGCCATGCGTAGTGGCCTCTAGCTTCTGCTTAGCAATGCGGGCCACAGCTTCTTCGTATAGTTGTTTCAGCGTAGCCTGTTCTTGTTCAAGTGCCTGCATCTTGCTATTGCTTTCAGGCTCAGAAGCCTGGGCGGAAGCTGCGGCGTCCTGACGGACAATGCTCGGGCCACTGCTTAGCTTCGGTACTGAGGGGCGGGTCAGGGTACAGGATTGAATCGCAGGGTGCAATTATTAATAAGAGTTGAAGCTACAAGCTTCAGGATTGTTGACTACACTCCTTTATGGCTCGGGGCTTTAGGACTTTGGTGTTCGTGGTTTCCGGTCTTTGGGGTATTTGGAGAGGGGCATAGGGTTTAGAATCTAAGCTGTTTGTGTGTCTATCAGAAAGCTAAAGCATGTGTCACAGTATATCTGCAATCGGCCTCTAGTATAATTAAGGAACCGCAGCACACCCTTTTCGTTTGGTTGTGGTAAGTAAGGTTCAGGATTTGGGGCACGTAGTTGTGCCGGGCACATGTGTCCCAGCCTCTTCGCTCATAAGCCTTTCCAACTCCTTTACCAAGTCGTCATCGTCGAAGTCGTTGGCAGCGGGTGCCGGTGTTCCATCCCAGGGCTGTGTGGCTTGCGAGTCCTCTGCAGTAGCCTTGGCTATAAATCTAGAAGCACACATAAAGCCTTACGAGCTCCCGAAGCCAGGCATGAGATGACTTCATAGCCAAGTCTCGACACCTGAATCCAAGCCCCGATCAGCCTGTCACGTACCAGCAGATATTATGTGATCTCGTATATGTATATGTATATGTGTAAACATTATATGGCATTATATGGCAGCTCAGAAACACAGGCCTCCATTATCTCCACCTTTGCAGCTCGAAGCTCAGCCTGCGGCGAGGTTGTTAATTTAAGGGCTTGAGATTCAATATATTTTGGGGGTTGTAATATTAAAGGCTCCACAAACTATAACCTTTGTGTGAGTGGCCTGTGCTTGGCGGGCCGTGTCGCCGTCGGGTGGCCGCCTTAACTTGAAATCATCGACCACACCTCTAGGTGGCTTGTGTTTCCATAAGGTACGAGCCGTCCTGATTCTGCCATCGGATCCGTGGAATTGGGGCCCAGATCCGAGTACTATAGCGTGTACGGTTACGTACGGCTTTTGTACGGGTACGGTTCTTTCTTCGTTGACTATGGCGTACGGATACGTACGGTTGTGTACGGTTGCCTCTGTTCGTGGAAAGTAGTGTAAGCCATCAAACCTCAGCATGCGAAAAGACCCTGCTTGAGCAACTGGATCTGCCAAGCAGCGATATTCTGCACCCAGCCGTACAGGAAGCCTCCAAATTATGCATAATAGATGCAGACCACTAGTGCACTACCAGGCGAAATCCGTACCCGTCTAAAGCCGTAAATGAACACACAACCGGTACCCGTACAAAGGCGTACAACACCGTACTTCCTATAGCTCACAACACCTAATACGTGCAACCGTACATCCTGCACTAGGACACAAAAAACCGTACCCGTACAAAAGCGTACAAAACCGTACATCCTGCACTAGGACACAACAACCGTACCCGTACACAAGCGTACAAAACCGTACATCCTGCTTTAGGACACAAAACCCGTACCCGTACACAGGCGTACAAAACCGTACATCCTGCACTAGGACACAAGAACCGTACCCGTACAAAAGCATACAAAAGCGTACATCCTGCACTAGCACACAAAACCCGTACCCGTACACAAGCGTACAAAACCGTACATCCTGCTTTAGGACACAAAACCCGTACCCGTACACAAGCGTGCAAAGCCGCGAAAGAGATGTGCATCGGATGTGTTTAAACCAGGCCAAACAAATCACCGAGCTGAAGCCAAGATCCTTAAGACGGACAGAAAAACAGACATTGTGGTTTTGAAGCCTCTCCATCGAACTAGCCAGATGCCTGAACTAGAACCGAAACAAGCAATTTTGGTTCGAACATGCAAGTCTAGCCGGAGTTCAGCAAGACCAGGTCTTCGGAAAGTTGCTGTCGGTCATCGACAGGCGAGGCAGCTACTGCAAATCTGGCAGAGGTCCTGCGAAAATTAGGTCGGTATCATTCAGAAGTGAATGGTCATATTAATCTTGCCCAGGACCCAGCAACGACGGTATAAAGTGCCCAGCACTAGCAGGCGAAACCCGTACCGTACCTGCTGAAGCCGTGAGTTAACACACAACCCGGTACTATCTACAAAAGCGTACACAACCGTACATCCTGCTCTAGGACACAAAGGCCGTACCCGTACACAAGCGTACAAAACCGTACATCCTGCTTTAGGATACAAAACCCGTACCCGTACACAGGCGTACAAAACCGTACATCCTGCACTAGGACACAAGAACCGTGCCCGTACACAAGCGTACAAAACCGTACATCCTGCTTTAGGACACAAAACCCGTACCCGTACACAGGCGTACACAACCGTACATCCTGCTTTAGGACACAAAAACCATACCCGTACAAAAGCGCACAAAACCGTACATCCTGCTCTAGGACACAAGACACAAAGGCCGTACCCGTACACAAGCGTACAAAACCGTACATCCTGCACTAGGACTCAAAACCCACATTCGTTTGTGTATACATGGCTTCCTTATCTTCTTGATTGACACATGTATTAGGATGTGTGCGTATATACACGGTTTGAGGTTTTGTGTCCGTAGGATGTACACTGGAAGCACACAGCTTGCATGCATGATTGCAGAGCTGGGCCTGGGATCTGGGACGGTCATTTAAAATTGGAGAAGTTGGCTGAGTTGTGTCAAAC